TGAATGAATAATTAATCAATGATAACATAAGTTTACAATTAGCAAGTTATCAAGAAGCCCATGAGAAGAATTTTTTCATAAAATCTTGGTGATGGGTATAGCTTCTTCTCTCACGCTTTGGAGTGTTAGTAAAAAAAGCTTTAATAGCAGATGGCCTTGGACTGCAAGTGCAGGCTCTACCACTTACTTCTTAGCTGTGGGACAGTGAGCAAGTCGCGACACCTCTCTGGACATCAATTTCCTAATCTATATAATTGAGCTAATAAATCTGCCACACAGAGTGATTTTGAAGATTTGCAATAATGTTTATAAAGAGCTAGACACACGCACTGGACCCACTAGATGGTGAGAGAGAATGCTGATTCTCATCAGCAAGTTAATCCTTTTGTCCCAGAAATGGGAAGGCTCTGCCAACGCTGGCCCAGGTCAGGACTGCCATGAGCCAAGGTACGGAATATTCTCATTTTAACTTTCAAAGTTAAGAGAAAAGCACAGATCTAAAGTAGAAAGGAACCAGCAGCACATGTTTTTAAATATTCATAAGGGCTGGAAATGTCTTACTCCTTTCGTTTTCTCTGCCATCTGCTTTTGTTTCTTTTCTTTTCATTCTTATGCCACAGCTGCAAATGAAAACAACCATACAATAACTCAAGTTAAATAAAAAAAAATCAAAATAAAAACAATCTGAGGGGTAAAAAGAGAAGATGAATTATAAAGTTTTTTCCCTGAGCTCACAGAGTACAGAAGCAAGAACGTTTGATGTGAGGTAAACCCTTCTGGAAACCAAAATCCATGTCCAGTTTTTATAGTAACCGTGATAAGAGCAACCACCATTTACTAAATGTCACTTGATGACACTATTTCTAATTCCTAAAGCCGCCCTTCAAAGTAGGCAAATTAAACCCATTTTACAGAAAAAGAAATTGCAAATCAGAGGGGTAAAAGAGATTTTTAATGGCGACACAGCTAATAAGAGATGAAACTGAGAGGTGGACCCGGGTGTGTCTGAATCCAAAGCTCAGGTGATTTCTCTACTCTCCTTTTCAAAAATGGGAAAGAACTTGAAAAAACTAAGTTGGGAAATATTTAGGGCAGACCATTTTGTGCTAAAACGATTTATTCAGATAATTAAAACCCGTGATTACAGCTCTAATTAAAGTTAACTCAGATAATTGGTTGTTGTATTTGTGAAAGTGCAATCAGAGTCTTCCACATAATTGCGGGGTTTTCAGCATCATAGTTTCCATTTATTCACTGCATCCCACAGCTTTGCTCTACTGGCCTCTGTTCTACCAAAGGCTGCATTACAGCTCCTTGGGTCTCTGAGCTCAAGGACCATGACCTATGATACCAGGGTCTGAGCTCAGCCTCATTTAACACGTCTTTGTCCTGAAGTCAATGAACACCTCATCTTCAAGTGCAATGTAAAAAGCTCTTACGGCCTACACTTTACTGTTGTCCTGAAAACTCCTAGCAGCATGTACCTGAGGAAAAACTGGCAGCAGTGGTCCTCATGTGTTAATTACACTTGTGAAGTCTATTATGCATAGAAAGGGCACCTGCTGGCAGTGAAAATGACTAGAATCTGCCCTTCCTGTGCAGTGAGTAAATTGAGAGTTCATTTCTACAGGAGATAATAGTTTTCAGATTCCATTTCGTGTATCCCCTGCATGGGGACGTACTTAACATTTAAATCATCTGCAGAAGCACAAACCTCCTTCAAATTTACATGTTTCAGGCTCCTAGCACTTTACTTAAAATGCTAGTTATCCCTGCTGGCTCTTACCACCAAGGATTAAGCTCAACATGGTGAAAGTTACTGAGCACAATAGAATCAAGTAATTAGCATTGACTCAAATTTCATGACATTTGTCGTTTCTGACTAAAGCAGTGGCAGCAGGCTGAAGGTGATCAAATCAAGCCTTAATGGACAATGTTTTCTTCCTCTTGGGGCCTTTTATTTCATCATTCTTGCATCTTGCAGTTAATAAACAGATACCAATCCCCACTGGTCTGTAATCATCCTTTGGTCAAATATCAAAAAGTCCTTTCACGAAAACAAGAGACCGAGAAAAATGGTATCACACAAACTGAAACTTCCAAGATGGAACATAATCACAAAACTCACTCAAGCTCAGAAAAATACAAGCCTTAACTTGGATTTTTTGGAGAGGAAGTTTGGGGTGACAAGGGCTTAGCAGCTTTCTTGACAAGTCTTCCCTCCTAAGTTAGACTTGCCAGGATCACTGCTCTCAGTCAGGCCAGTAACACAGCTCTAGACAGTGTTAGAGTCAGACATGGAACTGAAATGAGGATCTCAGATCAGCTGCCACAGGAAAGAGTAAAACAGCTGATAAGTCCTCTAAACAAACAAGAAAGGAGGGCTGGGACCTCCAGTAGCAGCTGGAAAAAACTGATTTTTTTTAAAAGTAAAACTTTTCAATGATAAAAACCACACTTTCTCCATTGACATGTCTGAAGATATGAAAAATAAAATAAAAATCATATAGAATTTCTCTCTCTCCTCCCTATCACAAATCACTGTTAACATTTGGTGTATTTCTTCCTATATTTCTGCTGGTGAGTGTGTACGCACATTTAATTTTTGTGGTATACACACACACACATAACTTTTTGTCTGTTTCTATAAAAATAGAATTCTACAGTACATAATATCTATATTGGGACAAGTTACTAAAACCTCTTGGGGCCTTGTTTTACCAGTCTGTGAAATGGAGCCAGTGATACTGCCTTACAGGGTTTCTGGAAGAACTAAGATCACAGATGCAGAGGAGGCGGTCCAGTAACTGAGGACTTAGGGGACACTCACCACTGAAGGTACTGACAGAGCATTTTCCTCTCCACAGTTGTGGGAATGTAAGCTGCTGGCTTTAAATGAGCTACCAATTTAACACCCAAAACTTTCCAAGTAACAGAAAGCTGAAGTCGTACTATTACCAATCCCTGCACACAGGAACCCCTGGGCGTTCCTACAAGCACAGTATCAAGACACACCGGTGAGTCCCTTCCAGCAAGAACCCTAAGGTTTCTCTTAGAGCACATGCCTGGGTGAAATGTGTAGGGCGTCATGAGTCTCCCTCTGTGCAGGGGCCCCTGAGATGGGTGTGGTGGCAAAGGGACCCATGTCTGTGTATGAGTATGGGGGACATGTGTCTGTGTGAGAGTATGTGCCTATGAGGCTGTTGCATGTCAAGGGGCGGGTGGCAAGAGGACCGGGTGCCACTGTGTGAGTCTGTCTTAGGAACATATGCCCCCTTTCTACCTTTTCTATTTTTTTCTCACTATCTCCCCTCTGTCTCCCTAGGTTTTGTATTTTGTTCTTTCCTCTCCCCCTCACTCTCCTGGCCTCCTCCTTCTTCTGTGTCTGCCTATGCCCAGCCCATCAATCTTGCATTCAAACACCACCACCACCACCACTACTGGATAAGCAAACATGGGCCTTTCCTTTGTGAGACATGACAGGTGAAATAAATGACAGCTTGTTTGGAAGCTCAACGGGAGCAGCGAGTCTAAGCAGAGGAATGGTGTCTTAATCTCGTAAGAGGTGGGGGAAAGGCATGGATAAAAAGTAGGTACAAAATAAACAGGGGTATGTTAAGAATAGTATAGGAAATGGAGAAGCCGAAGAACTTATATATATGCGCACAACCCATGGATATGGACTAAGGGGAAGGGGGAATGCTGCAGGGCATGGGGGTACTGAGCAAAGGGGGACAGAGGGGGAAAAATCGAAATAACTGTAATAGCATAATCAATAAAATGGATATATATCTAGAAAAGTGCTACCTTGATAAGAAAGACACATAGCAGGGAAATGATCTGATTCACCGAGTGCTAGGCACTTGAGAGGGTCGCTGATTTTTACTTGACAGCTTTGAGCTATATCTTTGTTGTATCCATGGCTTCTTGGGATGAGGGTGAGACCAACATTCAAATCAGGGTACTGAGAAATACCTTTAAGCTCCCAGGGCAATCTGGCTACCTTGGTGAACCTTTTCAGTGGCAGGTTTGCAAAGTGGGCTAGAGAACCTAGCAAAAAGTATGACTGGACTGGACTCAATCACTTTGAACCAATGGTAAGTGTTCTGAATCAATCTGTTCTTACAGAGACAGAATGGTGGCCTCTCAAATGGGTCTCTTTCTCCAGAAACTGTCAATTTCTGGCAGGTAGTGCTTTTTCCTATATATGTATAGTGCTGAGCTGTCTGGAGACAATGTCTTTAACCACATTACACTAGAGAAAGAAATTGTTCAGAAGGAAAATGGATCCCAATCCACTTTCTTTTCCATGGATCTTTTTGGTAATCTATTGAAGACAGAGAGTGATGACGACAATGCTTCTGCAGAAACGCAGCTGAGTGCTTACCATGAACCTGCTTTTCTGCATGGTATCCTTTCATCTGCTATATCATTTTGTCTTTATATGATTATGTAAAGAACAACTTCATTTTGCAGATGAGGAAACAAGGTCTTAAGCCAAGTGACTCGTCCAAGGTGGCACGGCTGACTCACGCCTGCATGCCTTCCTTCCACTAAAATACAGTTCACTGAACTGTGAAATTCCCGTCAAATAACTTAAGGGTTTTGAAATCTGGCTTGTGCTCCCAAACCACAGTTGAGAGCAGTCTTATAGAAAGTGCCAGCACATGGTTGAAACTTAAAGACCTTAGGGGACTCAATTGTTCTTGTCATCAGTTTCCAATTTGTCTTAGGAAAAAAAAAAAATCACACAACTACTTGGTGCTTTGGTTTCTCCAAACTAAGAAATGGGAAAAGTGTTATCTTTTCACTTTAACTCTTAAGAATGCCATGACATATATGAAAGATGTTTGGAAACAAAAGGGCCATGCTGTCATGCCGTCTAAAATACACGTCATTTTTTAAGTTAGTATTTTTCATTTAGAGTCACCGACTGCATTGCAAGCATGCCTCGCCAGTCCCCGGAGAAGGAGCGCAGAGGACGGGAAGCAGAGCCTTACCAGCAGTAGTCCAGCAGGTGCGGCGGCAGGACGGGGATGTACACGTGCTGCCAGAACATGGGGTAGAGCATGGCGGCGGCCCCGTGGATGCAGGCGGTCAGCTGCAGGAGAAGCGAGCCAGAGGTCAGTGCTAACAACCAAATGAAGGGATGCTGTCCCACTGGAGTTGAGCAATACTATTAAATACACACTTCTCAATGTATTTAAAGTAAGGTCACTCAACTGCCCTAATTCAAATTTACTAAGAGCCTGCTTTTCCAAAAAAAAAAAAAAAAAAAAAATCTCTTTTTTTCCTGATTCTGAAGCTAATGCACAATGACAGTAGAAAATTTAGAAAATGGAAAAAGGGATAAAAGAAAACAAAAGTTTTCACCATCTGAAAATAATTTAACATTTTGGGGTATTACATACATATGCACTTGTATTTCCTTTTCTAATGAAATTAGGATATTATAACCACAGTGTTCATTTGTTCTTTTTTTTTTTTTGCAGTATGCTCTTTTTTCTTTAAGTTAACATTATTTGCTGGCATTTCCTCACATCTTTATAGATTCTTAGAAAATATATCTTTTACTGCCACTCAATAAATTTTCCATACTATATTAAACCACTCATCTATCATTAAGTTATATAATCAGATAAGGTCGATACTTTTTATATCTGGTTCCTAGATGTAGAATTCAGAGACAAATGTTATAAATATTTTAAGGCACTTAATACATGTAATAATATAAACATACTAAATGCATTCATATAATAAATAGATGAAGGATGGAAGGTCTTTACACTAGCCCAGCCATGTACTACAACGTCCCCTTGCACCTCATCAGCACTAAGAATTGTAGTCAAATTAGTAGCTTGAAAATTGTATCTATCTTGATTTTTTTTTTTTTTTTTTTATTCCTCTGATCATGACTGAGGCTGAAAATCTTGTCATATGTTTCTGGACTATATTTCTTAGGTCTGTTCCTAGCCTTAAGCCACTTTTTCTAATGAGTATTAGTATTTTTAAAAATTGATTTACAAGCAAAACGTAGATATGCGAAGGACACTAATCCTGTGCAATATTTTGAAAAAAATACTTTATCCTTTAATTTTTTCTGATTTTTGAGATGAAGGCAAGGTTTAAATAATTACATAGATGAATATTTTCCTTCATGATGGTGTCCACTGCTTTTATACTAAGGAAGTCCCCCAAATCTTTCCCCAGCATTTAACTTTAATCCATCTGGAATGAATTTACATTTAAGGACTGAGGTGAGAATTTATTTTTTCCACATAGTTAATCAATTGCCCCAGCACTGTTAACTGACTAATCCTTACTCTCCATATTCTTTCAACATTTCGTATTCTTTCTCTTTCCTTAAGAGCTAGATATATCATACAACTAATATTTGATATAATTAAAATTTTAGGAAACAAAGGTATAACGGTAATAAAATTGCCACAAAATTCAATATAGTGAAAAAAGCAGGGAGGAGAGGGGAACAACACCTTGGGAGATACAGCTATGAAGTGACAAAAGCCAACAACACATGTTTCTTTCTGCCTTGTTTCTTTGGTTTCTGGGAAGCCTGTTCCCAGGAGGACTCTGCTTCTTTTGGAAGTTGTTAACTGGCCTTTGCTGACAGAAGGACATTTACGTGGCGAAAGAGTGATGTGCCAAGGCCCAGTTAAAAGAATCCCAGAGGTTAGTGTAACATGAACGGCTTTAAATTGGACATGCTGCTGATGTTTCACAGTTGTGAGAGCTGTGTATTAAATCCAGGGCCACTACTCCCCTCCATACCTTTTCCCTCCAGACCCTGTTCTTTAAATCAGGTACATGTCATGAACAGGAGCTTATCCAGCAAGCTCTCTAGAGCTGTTCCCAGTGACACCACCAAGGCTTGTAAGTTTAATCCAATCCATCACTCTCAACCCATTTTAAAATGTTTCCATATAAAGGAGGCTGTCTGTCATACTATACATGACTAATCTCTTCAGGCAAGGAAGAAATGAGAAGGGGTAAGAAATCTTTGCTGGTGTTGAATGAATGGAAAATGAACCAACTTTACTCAACTCACCCTGAAGTTTGGCTGCAGGGCGAAACTGGCCATGGGCCTCAGCGCTTTCTGCCCATCCTTTAGCTGCCAAAGTACTCCTGCTGAAGCGCAGGTCCAGTCAGGGAACATCCCACTTGGAAGTCTTTGGGGCAAGTCTGGGACAGGCATGTCTCCACCAGTTCTCAGTCTACCTGGAGAGCAGCATCTCCAGCCATAGTCTCCACTGCCTTCTCCAAGTTTATTCTTGGAATAAAGCACTTGAAGACTTAGGAGGAGTTATGTACTCCTTTATCTCCTCTCTCTCTCTCTTTACCTATTCCCGAAACTGGCCCGGATTTGTGCCCACAGCAAACGCCTCCTGCCTCATGGTCTCTGTGCAAATGCTACTTCCTTGCAGGGTTTCCCTGCCGGGCATACACCCCATTATTAATGGAGCTATAACTCTGCGTATTTGTCTTGTCATTGTAAGGTCCAGAAAGACCTGTCCCTCTTTTCTTCTACATGCTCTCGGTGTACAGCATACACACACACACACACATATTGTATGCTATGTATATGTGTGTGTGTGTGTGTGTGTGTGTGTGTATATATATATGCGCATATGCTAATGCAGTGTTTCTTAAATAAAAAATAATTCTACTTAGAATATATTCACAATATAAACATAGTCAGTGGCTCAGTTCATGAGTCTCACAGAGTGGGTTATATGACTCACATTCCAAAACAATACTGGCAAGCTAAGACACAAAATATGTCACTTCTTGGAAAATTAAGTCAATGGATTCATTTGTCCATTCATTCAATAATATGCCTACCTATAACTCTATAACACATCAAATAAATAAAAGCACTTTAAAATCTATAAGGTGCCATACAAATATAAGGTATCATCACATGAATTCATTTGTAATTCTCTTTGAAGTCATTCAATAGAGCATTCCTAGCTGATACAGAACTTATTACTTGCCTCTTTTAAGCTTAAACTGGTTTGAGTCTAAATCTTATTTCGAGTGATAAAGTGGCAGAGATCTTATTTTCAATGTTCTCCTCGTGTTCCCTTAACCTCAAAAAAACCCTACAGAGCTGAATGCCAAGTTTTTAAAATTTCTTATCTCTCATAAAAAATTAATTTTTAAGGTATTTGATAATCATTTTCATTGGGGTTTTTCTAAGGGTCAAGTCTCTGCAATTGGAGTAAAATACATTTACTCATTTGATTAAAAAAACAAACAAACAAAAGAAATTGTTAGGCTCTTTTACCAAATACTAAATGGCACAAATAATGTACTTAAGAATAGTGACTAAGTTGATTACAAGAAAAGTGTTATGATATATGTATGCTTATATCATACATAAGCATACATATATCAAGAATAATATCTTACATACTGTAAATTATCATTAGCTACTTATTAGAAAAATAACTCTAAAACCAGCGTTATTTTTAAAAATAAGGATCCTAAAGGCCTATACTCATTTCTTAGAGAACACAAAATTTAAAAGTAATGAAAATATATATTTGGGTTATAGTAAACAAAAAAGCACTGTGAATATTTAATTGAAGTGTAAGTTGAGGAAAATGATCCTATCAAAATCTCACTCAGTGGGCGAATAGAAAGATAGTATGTGTAAAATTTGCCCAAAGTCATTAGTCACAATGAATATTCATCAGAAGCCAATTATCAATCCCATTTAATGACACCCCAAAAGATTTTGCCCTGAAGCAGCTGAATAGTCTAAGACTCCAGACAAAACTAGACAAATTATACAGCCAACAGCCAGTCTAGCCAGGACACAGATTGTAAAGTAAACCACTGGTGGGTTTTTGGACGCTCTTTTAGCAAATTCTGTCCTCAATTAAAGATGCACAAGGTCACTTCTATCTTGGAGCTTTCTATATGGCTTCATTAGTTTTCTTTGAGGCAAAGGGAGAGAAAGGGAGAAGGGAGTGGGGATAGGACATGAATGAGGAGTGATCAATGATAGAGTTGAAAGAAATCACAAAGACTTTTTTTTTTTAATTTTAAGGTATTTCTCAGAGATAATACCCAGATTGTCACAGTCTTTAGATCCCAAAGGTAGCTCTGTAATTTAACATGGAATAAAAGTAAGATTCCCATACACCACCCCCCAAAAGAAAAAAAACGGAATCCCAACAGTATATATGCCAGGCATCATGTTGGAGGTTTAGGATCTTGCAAAGTGCTATTTTAAAGGGGTGTGTGTGTATGTGTGTGTGTTTACACACACACACCCTCATCATCACATTTTACAGATAAGGAAACAGTCTCAGAGGTGAAATAACTTGCCCAAGGCCACATAGCTAGTGACAGACGTGGGACTCACATCCAGGTCTGTCAGACTGTAACGGCCACTGTGTTTCCACAATCCATAAATTAACTTAAAAAATGTTTTGAGTGCCTAACCTGTGCCCGTACACTGTGCTGAGGAGTCTGAACTAGATGAGATATTGTCTCTACTGGCATGGCCAAATTATGTAGAAATGCATTTGCCTTGGTGTTAGATGAACAAAATATCTAGGGCAAAATACCATTTAAACAGAAAATAATCCTTTTTAAAACAAACACAGATCGGACAATTTCCTGGGGATTAGCTACATTTAACTAAGGTGCTGTAGTGCCTTTAACCCACAGGAAGGTCTAGACTATGACACAGTGACTGTCCAAGTGAAAGGCTTGCACCCCAACCTGGCTCGCCTATTTGAAAGCTTGGGCTTCTGACACACTCCCTTTTACATACTTGCATGGAGTTTCCACTAATTCTCTTTTTTGATCTGAGCAAGCCACTTCCTCTCCTGGGTCTCAATTTCCCCTCTATGGAAAACAAGAGGCTAGGCTACATGATCCCTCTGCCCCCTTCCAGCTTTGACAACTTAGGACCTAGAGGAATTGCTGTCCTTTGATGTGAAATATGCGCCTCCTCTGCCCTAGCTCCCCATCAGCTACACCGACTAAGGATAAGAAAAACAGGGTACATCTCAAAGCTGGTCTTGCTTTCTCATCTCTGCAGCTACATGACCCTGTTGGGGTTCATGT